ACATTGAAAGATTTCTTCTTTTAGTTCAAAGAAATGCTACCCATATAGGTCGGAGAGAAGTCTATTTTGAATGTTTTCCGATAGTAATACTCCAACTGATCGAACAAAAATTCAAAATAAAATTTAACAACTCAAAAATGAAAAAAGTTAACAATAATTGCAAAAATTTATCACGCTATGAATTGACAGAAATTAAAATGCCATTCTAATTGGAAATAGTATGACATTATCTGAAGAAGAAAGATTCTAACCTTTCAGCTCCAAAATGTTTTCTCCTGCAGTAAGCCTATCATCGTTTCTCCAGTAGTTCCTAGCAGCATTCAGTGCCTTGAAAAAAAAGATAACTTCAATAATATTAACAGCACAGATTCTTGTCATAAGCAAAAAAGAAAGAAAATTATTACAAGCGAATGATCGACAACTCAACCACCATAGTTTATTCTTGGTATTGTCGAGGTAATCCTCTGTATAAGAGAGTACCATGGGGACAGAAGGAACTACTTCTTGGTCAAGCTTCCCTTCATTATCGATTCATTTCTTGTGACTAGGAACAAAATTAGGGATACATGGGACAGGGAGACATTTGTTTAATAGTCTGCATGCTTGAACACTAAACTTTCTCGACTTTTATCCATTCTTATCCTATCCACCACTTTTGTCATTTTGCTTTATAGGGAGTTATTCTCCGCCATTTATCTAAGTAATTAAAATTACCCAAGCCACCCATGCCGTGTAGTGTTAATATTCACGGAACCAGTGAAGTAACACGATTTATATAAGAGTAAAATCGCTTAAGCTTTCATTTCTGCAAATTAAAGAATGCAGAACACTGAACGATTCCTATTACACTTCCAAAATTATGTGGAACTCAAATACGAATCATTCTAATGATTCATACTCTGATTTCTGCAGATATCATCAAATTCTTAATGATACAGATGATATGAAATCAATTGCATTTTCAATATCAATATTATAACTCACTTCTTCTTGTGCATACTTGATATCTACGTCAAATTGATCGAATTCGTTATTACTCACGTGAAAGTGAGGACTGGTAATGACTAACGAATCACGATTTTGATTCTCGTTGAAATGATTGTTGCTAATAGTACCATTGAATCGGTTCATATTTGTTGCCGAAGCAAATAATGACCATTCTCCTTTATTTTCCACGAATAAATTTTGTGTAATATCAATGGCTGAACCAGGCTGTATATCCTCCTGCATATGAGATCGAGTTAAAGGAATGGAAGAAAAGAAGGATTTAGGGAAAGATCGAAAAATGGAAATGAAATTAGACCATTGATGATGATACGTGGATAGTCAACGCCCCTTTTTGTCCAGCTTCATTGTTTCTAATGAAAGTATTTCGGTGTATTTTTGCATCCTCACAACCTTCCAATGTTATACGCATTGCGAAATTGTCATTCCTCAAGAAGCGATTCCTTTCAATAAACATTTTCGGTATCTTCCGTTCTTCAAATTTAGCTGCTAACGGACACTAAAATGAAGAACTATTCATATAAAATGACCAGTGATACTACTTTTTTTTTTTTACGTTTGCTTACAAAAGATAGCTGCTAACCTTTGAAAATATGGTAACGGATGGAAGCATGTTCGAAACGAAATTTGAAGTATTTAGATGAAGCAAACAGTAAGATTTCAAACTGAGTAGGATACCACCGCCACCTTTCTGCTTCCGGACTGTTAAATTGCTCATAACAATCGAATCCAATTCGTCTTCTTCTCTCTGAGCAATAACAATCCCGAAAGAGCCACTATTTTCCAACTAAAATTTGATTTGAAAGAAAAATTCACTTCTAATTTTCTAGTCATTTTGCTTTTGATTTATTAGTTTGAAAACTTACTTATATTTCAACCAAGAAATGTAAACAAGGAAGCCAATTTGAAATATATGCCTTAAAATAAATCATCTTAAAAAAATATTCCACTGCAAAATCTTTATTTCAAATGCAGTTCACCTACCACAATATTTTCTAGCATTATTTTGCCAATCGGATTCACGAAGTCTATTCCCACCTCTGCACAATCCATTATTTGAACATTTCTGAAACAGATTATTATTTTACACCTCTGAGATTTTTGTTTGCGGGATACAATTAATTCATTAACTGAAACTATCTTAGCTATCTGAAAACCAAAATAAATTTGTTAAATGCATAACTAAGTTCAAAGTTTTCTCTTTTCCTGTATTTTTCTTTTTTATAATTTCCTAAGTTCAAAAAGGTCCAAACTTTCTGCACCGAATCTGACAAACTATAAATTACCAGCCATTAACCTGTAAATTATACCTGATAAAAATAGCATCATGTATCTGACGTTTCAGAATTTGAATACCATTCTTGCGCGATTGCAAGATAACTGATTCACCCATATCAAGGGTGCCATTGTATACCGTTGTAATCAAAACACCAGTAAAGGTCGGTCGTATGATTTGCACATTTTCAATTGATATATTTGACGAACTAACGTTTAACCCAATCACTGCGTTTTCCAGAATGCAATGGTTTGCATGGATAATACCGCCTAGAAATTAAAGCAAAAGCTTATGTGCTATTAACTATGATTTAGTTAATTCAGGACAAACATAAGAATAAATTTACCAATTTGGTGACTTTTTATGTGTACTAAACTTGATCTGTAAATCCAAAAAAAAAAGGAAACTGAAATCAACAAAAGATGATGCTATTATAATCATAATTATAACAGTAATTAATAATGAGTCATACCAGTAATAAAACATACTAATAATAATATAAATATGGCATTTTCATTATGATTTAATTTCCAACCATTTTCTATTTGTCTTAAAATGCACCATACAAATCACCAAAATGAAAAAAAAAAGGAATAAAGTATGGTTTGTTCTGTGTTATTGTGTCACATACCAATTACAAGTGAATACTGAGTTAGTAAAAACTAACTCAGTATATTTCGAGAATGGAAATTCTGTTTAAATAATGAAAAAGGACATACCTTGATTGAGAATAATTCCAAGCCATGGTGTACGGCCAGAACTTTTTAATAAAATTGGATTATCTCGTTGGCCTAGCAAGTGTAGAACACCTAAATTCTTTTTTTTTGAAACTTTGCTCTATATCCTTATTAAAACAAGTGAAATTTTCTTGAATTTTTTACTGACTTATTATCCGACTTGAAAGTGGTTTCGTAATATACGATGAGAAGGAGTAAGTTTTTCCTTTTTTATTCAATTTCATAAATGACTGACCAAAAACAATGATTCCATAATTCGGTTTGAAATGCAACATAGATCCTTCATGAAAAACTGCAGTTTCATCTTTTCCTATTATCAGCGATGTGGTAAATCTAAATTTATCTCTGAACAATTGAAAAAGCAAAATTTCAGGTGAGTTCATTACATTTGACGTTGTGCTTTCAAATTCTTTGCTTCTGGTCATCAAATATAAGCATCACTCGGACATAACAATCATCGTATAATGAGGAGAGAGAAAGAAGTAGCATACACTTTCAACGAAAAACTTCCTGGTCGCTCGGTGATAAATGATGGTAATTTTTCGGATGCAACACTCAGGAATGGCGTTGCAACTACTGGGATCACTGATTTGTCTCTTCCGTCACATATTCGACTCATCACCTGACAACAGAAAGTACATAGCAAACTAAAAAAATGTTCAATAAAACTGCATTAGATTATTTCCTTTCACGGGAAAAAACATCGAACAGAAGAAGTAGAATTTTGAAAAATACGCCAAAAGAAGATTTTCAGACTTTGAGTAAATTCCCATCCTAAGTTCTTCAGAATTAGAACTGAAAAATGACCTTTTCTTGATTAGTTATGCCCCAATAATTATTGGTGGTATTGATGGACATTAAGTCTACTTTCAATCCAAAATGTAGCTCGCATCGAGCCTAAAAATGATCAAAACTGTGACTAAAACTCAAAATTAATTTAAAAAAATCTTCCGAACAAATTATCCAATCAGTCATAAGTTATTATGGCTTATTCACCTCAGAAGAGAAGGTGATAAGAATACGAAGAGAGTTCGATGTGTTTCAACAAATGAAGTACATTCAGTAAGGCATGTGCAGAAAATCATAGTTTTCTACTGATTTTAAATTTTTTTCGAGAAGTATAATCTTTCAGTTTAGTGCTAACTACCTGTAATCATTTCCGAAAAAATATTGCTTATAAATTAAGCTATATTGCATCGATTTATTCGCAAAAATTTGAGAAAATTTTTCGAAAAGTCTTTTAATTCACCTCAGAATTATCGAAAATATTATAGGAGATGTTGACACGATTTGTCGTCAAATACATGGTGTTCAAAGCTAAATTCTCTACAAATGAATTGTCTACAATTACGATTTTGGCATTTGTTGGCATGTTACTCGGTTCACTTCGGCCAATTAATAAAATGATTTCCATAGCGTTCCGGAAGAACCGGTTATCATGTATTCGGATGCGAGCTTCTGTAATTGGTGTGAAGCAAACTGATCATCAATTTTAAAATATTTATTCTCCTTTTTGAATTTGAAAATGAGAAGTTTTTATCTCCAACTTGAATGAATCATTATTATGGAATAGTTGATTGAGAAATGTGTGGTGCTAACCTTCGTCATTTTCACTCATTCCCAATTTGATCACCGAATTGAGTGTGGTATTAATCCGGAAGACGTTTTGTTGAAAATTGTTGTTTCCAATCGAAATTTTCGTTTTTCCTTTGATTTTATCAGCAAGTATAGATATGCCTTGATTCCCTTTCCAGTTTCCATTCAATAAATACAAATTGCTATCAGTAACATCTCGAAATACGACCCCGCCATTGTTATTCCACCATCGGCAACCATCCAACAGGAAATCACTACCACTAACAAATTTAACCAGAACAGCTTCCCTATAATAAGATGAGTAATAGATGGAGCTACGATTAATCTAGCATATGAAAAAAGATATACCCAGAATTGTGAGCCTTGAAACTGCTGGAAAAACATCTGATTTGAATTTGTTGTCCATTCTGTATTTTGAGACCATTCTGGCCATTAGAACCAAAACTTGAATTGTGCACTTCCAATGTTGACCCATTTGCCAAATATGTTGAGATACCATCTTTGTTATTAGAAAAAAATTGACTTGATATAACGATGACATGAAGGGTTCCTTTCAGTAAAAGCCCATTGATTTGATTTGACATGGAGACTACCTCTTCTACGACTAAGTAACCCTGTAAAATGTAACATAATCCTACGGATACATACTGACTTAGTTTCAATTTGTAATGCAGCTGAAATAATTAACTGCACTTAATTCAATATTTCCATTAATCTAATTAGCTGTTAATAATCAGATAATTTACTGATTGTTGTGCCCCAATATGTACGGATACGCCATTCTCACGGTTATTTATAGCTGTGACTCTTTTCAATGTATAGTTGAATATTTTCTGAAATAACAAATGCCAAATGATTAATTCAAGTAATAGCGTTGAAAATTTTTTCGAGAAAAATTTCTGTTTTAAAAGTAGGGAAGAAGACAAGTCGGACTAAATAAAATCTAGATTTTTGTAACTTTCTTTTACTAATTAAGATTTGTGAGGAAAAATTGTTGAACAAGATTTTATGATATTGAAGTCACATCTGGACAAAAACTACCACACTTAAAACTTTTCGGTTCATATTTATTGGTTTGGCTTGAAGTATCATATTTCAAATGAAAAACCAAAGATTAAGGTTAGTTGGGAAAATCCACAACTCACTCCATTAAAATTATTGCCATTATTGCGAGTTAAGATTGTAAGTCCGTTATCATTATTATCAATAACAATATTTTCTATCTGTGGAAGCAGAGGTGATTCGATCCGAATTCCAAGCTTGCTTCCAGAAACATTCAAGTAAATAAGCCGTGATTGCTCCGCTATCTCTGCTGAAAATGACATGAAATTTGATCAAAATGTTTAACATTAAAATTTTGATAGCATCCTTATGAAGTCCTAGAAAGTTGCTGAAGGTTTTTGAGAGTTCGCTCTGGGTTTAGGTTCCTTGTACTGTACAGAAGAATTTGCTTACCATTAGCAAAAGTAATACATAAACCATTCCAAGTACCATTCGTTGCATGTAATATGATTGGGTTATATTTGGTGCCAACCATTTGCAAAACACCTAAGAACATAAATTATTAAGACTTATTCAACAAATATACACTGCAATTTCAGTTTTTAAAAAAGATAACGAAGTAAAATAACTCGGATAACAATCTTACCGATCGCAATGATGCCAGCATTTTGAGAAAAAATTATATCTGTTCCAGCATGTATTTTGAGGACTTGTTCAGCATGGACAGTAATGTTTTCCGAAATACGATAAGGTGAATTTTCTGCTGTGAATTCAAGGACTTTCTCGAGATTGGTACTTCGTTTCAGCCTCACATTTCTCTCCAGAACCAAAAATCGTTCATTGTGATGTTTTCTGTGTTTGTGCGATATTCTTCCGTTCACAGATATACAATTTTTGTAAATTTTCCTTAAGTTTCTGCAGTTTTACTTTTGAGATCCTCATTTTTTCTAATTATCCTAGTTTTTATCAATTCGAATAATCAAAAATAAATCAAGTGTAATTGGTTTAATCTTGTCAATCAATCGGCAATTAATAAGTGAGGAATTAACTTGGTCGAATTGATAAATATATATAAAATTAACTTTTTATATATATATAAATATATATAAAATTAAAATTAATTGATAAATATATATAAAATTAAATATATATATAAGATATATAAAATTAACATCATATTAGTTCTTTTCAGTACGGTATGTCCACATGGTCGTGCGTCAACGTCAACAATATTGAGAGACTTATGTGTTACTATTGCAAAAACTGTTGCATAAGTGGGAGAGTGAAGCGTGAAGTTGCCGCCGCTACTACTGTAATGTGTTAAATACCAGACTGAATCGTTTTCACAAATTTTGTAAATCAATTCTCTGAAATTGATCAAATGCATTAAGAGAATAACAAAGAAGAAAAGAATAGTTATAATAGATATGATCAGAAACAGTTACTAATTTGTGAAACAATTTTTCCAACATTTTAAATTGTCAGAAGAAAACTAACATTTCTTCAGCGCCAGTTAAGGGTGTTATGCTGTCAACAGTTAATGAGGTGATACAATGCACTCTTGCAAAAATTAATTGAATGTAACTGCCCAAGAAAGGCTCCCCTAAAAATTGAATATTTTGAATGAAATAGAAATTTTGTTGCTATTTAATGAATTGATTCAGAAGGAGATTTATTGAATTTCATTTTAATTTAAATGGATCCATTTCAAATAGGAGTAAATTGAAATCAGATGCTTTGAAAGCCGAAATTGATGTCTCTACAGTTTAATACTACGATCTTCACAGTTCATTCTATAATATCAGTGAAATTTGTTGCATAATGAATAATTCTTGGTCTCTGTTTGGCATGCCCCAATGAATCATTACTTTGAACAAGGCCAATTAAATGTCCAAATTACCCCTTTCTAAAATGATATTTTAAACAAAAAGTATGGAATTTTGAATTCAGAGTTGCTTACTGTCTTCGACGTGAATCAGTTGACGACCACTTTCTACTCGTACGATTGTTTTACCGTACGATTGTTTTGCTGAAAAAATTCTTTACAGTATATTTAAAAATTTTAGAGAAATGAAATGGAAATTGATTCTTTCTTAGCTGAAATTTTGATACTACTGAAGATGAAGATAAAGGGGCATGAACTGCAAGGGAAATTAAATCAATCAGTTTTTAATTTTTTCTTGTAGAAAGGAAAAACAATTTATCTTTATTTGTAAGCCAAGCTTTGAAATTGGAACTCGTGGTATCGTAACGAATAGCCAAAAATTCTTCAGGCTAATTTAAACTCTTTTTTTACTAATATATTTGACCTGATTTAAACATTTGAATTTTGAATTTGAAATAACATAGATGTTGAATATGTTGCAAGAAAGAAGACGAAAGTCGATGAACTACTATATCTCAATAAATATTAAGAATTTATTGAATAATTCTGAGCAGCTTCTCTTTTCAATACATTGCATTCAAAGGGTTTAAGACTCAAAAACCGATAAAGTTTATATCAACGCTAAAAGTTGGAAAAATGTTTAATGCATTTGCACATTTCCTCCTCCTCAAAGAATACTAAATATATCAAATCGGTCAAGAAAACGGTTTCATGAACAGCTTACCAGTGAGCAATCCAGAAATGATTGTCGACCAAAGAAGAATTTTCATGATGAAAGCAAAGCGTTGAAGCAATTTTCGAAAAATTTTCTTGGTGAATGCTTTAAATGCAAATAGAGAGGAAAGAAATATAGAAATATTGACTAGTTGTCGTGGAGTGCAATCTGAAAATTGCATAAATTTGTGAGCATTTATACAACACTTCATAAACAAACTTTTTTTTAGAAAAGAAGCTGATTAGAAGTGAAGAATTTGTTGAAAATTTCAAAAAGTTACTTACAAAAAAAGTGGTTCATGGAATATTTCTCTGAAGAAAAACAAAATGATCCTTTTACATCAGCTAAAAGATTGTCTTTCATATTCTGAATGCTTCCTTAAATTATTAATTCATATTGCATCTGAATAATTTAATTTTCCTGGATTTTATATCTTTCAGAATTATTGCTAAGTCTGGAAAATATGTAATCCTTAATTTAAAACGAAAATTTCAAAAACAATTGAATGTTTTAGTTTCCTATAGAAACTTTGCTACTTTTTTTCATCTATTTTACTTTGAATTCCTTTTAAAGTAAAGTAAAATTTACAAATAGCTCTTATAAATGGGAAAAAAATGATAAAGTAATATGAATAGTTTAAATTTCAAATTAGTGGCAGTAGAAAGAGAGCTTTCAGTTTTTAAAGAACGAGCAAAAAAAGGGAAAAACCCACAGTAAATTGTTTTGTTATACTAAAATAGTTCACTTCGATACAAAATAAAATATTCAAAAAAAAAACGAAAAAAAAACAAACAGAACTCTTTTGAAATATCGAACAAAACGACAAAATAGCGCTATTGTTCCTCTTTACTTGGACAGTTATTTATATCCTAAGTTTAGCTAATTTTAAAGTATTGCATTTTATATAAGAAAAGAACGAAGAATATTTTCAACTGTTCTCTACATATTCATATTTCAATTTGAAATTTAAATTCTGCCTTGTTCTAGAATTCTTATTAATTTATCGATACAAATGTCACTTTATCCTTTAGTGATAAACACGACAACATTAATCACCTATCTTATTGAAACATTTGTTTTGCCTTGCTCAATAAATTGAAACTAGGAAAAAGTATACAATGAAAGGAAGAAATTTTGCAACAACTCGTAATTGGCTCTTATATTAATATATACAGGAAGTACAGGAAATATCCTGTATACACAAATTTCTTTGCTTAAATTCAAATTCAAAAAATTGCATAATTATTAATAATTAATTACAAATTTATAAAATTTGTAAGGATGCGAAAAGGACAAACTTTTCAAAATAATGCAAATCTTTTAAGTTTCTGCTGAAGAACAATTAAATTTTTGCAAGGAAGTGTGTGCATTCATCTTATGACATTTATGAAAAGCGGAAGCGTTTCTTACAAACTCTCTGTGAATACTGTAAATATTTCTTCTACAGTAATGTAAAAAGAAAAAAAAGTTTATGTTGAAATGAACTTATTTAATTCCAATTTGACATTTTTTTTAGTAGTAGACAAAACTGAATATTCGTTTTAAACACCAAAGATTAAGCAATGTTGCCAAAAATTTGTTCTGTTTTAGGAAAAATATGTTCATTTAAGTGGTGCAGCACCAAAAAGAAAATGAATAAAGGACGCGTAACCAAGGCGACCTACTTTTGGACCTATTTCTAGACACCCTTTCTGGTCAATAAATCTTTTCAATTTTAAGCAACACTGATTATTTTAAGAGCTAAAATTGCTCCTGCTAAAGAAAGCATACAAAAGAGCGGTAAATACTGAAGTTCAGAGTAGACGAGAAGCATTAAAAAAAATTAATGAAACGGAAATATGCAGTCACAAGTAAAGCTGAAACATTACATGCAAAAGATCGTTTGCTATTCACAACGATAAGCAAAATGGCTAAGGCTACTTGCTATCTCATTCCGACTCTATAATTCTCCTGTTTTTTTTGAAATTCATACTCTTTCAGTTTTGATTTCTTTATAACAAAAAAAAAGGAACTAGTTTAGTAAAATAAAATTCTTGAACATTATGGTGACATTCTGGCTCTTTCGGATTGCTTTAGTGGGAAAAGCAATAAGATGTTGTCTTTTATAAGATGAGTGGCACTCTGGAGAGGATAATATTTAGGACTAGCCGGAACTAGGCCGGGAGTCTAACTAGAAAGAATTGGAATAAGGCATGTTTTTGCTCTATTCCATCCTTAATAAATTATGCTTATGAATGGAGCAACTTTTAACTTCGTCGAATTTTTCCAATTCATTCAATCCCTTCTCTTTGTTATTCTTAGCAAGAAAACTTCAAAATTCTGCAATCAACAAGCTGCTTCAAAATGAATTTATATGATCTTATAATCAAGTGAGTCCAGTTTGCATCCATCTCATACATTATAATTAGCACAATATGTATAGTTTTCTCATTGTGAGGACAATATTGAAATACTTGAAGATTGTATGGATATGTCTGATATGTTTTACTCTGTGATAAATAAAACATGAATTGATATGGAAGAACTAATTGATGGATTAGATGTAAAATATCATGATGAAAAAAGTCTTAATGATAATGGAGGAGGAAATAAGGTGTAAAAAAAATGTGTAATAAATTTGGATGCTTGAATTACTTGAATTATTTGCAGCTCGTTTATTACTAAAGAAATGAATATTGCAGCAAATATGCAACAGGATTGACTAATTTATATCAATTAGTAACTGATATTTAACATAAAAAGAAGCCAATCTGAATATTGAGGTCCAGAATAATGACTAATTAGAAGTAATTTCGTCTCTCCATTTTAAGGAGATTTTGTTCAATGCGATGAATTTCGATTGAAGATGATGAAAATGTTTCTCTTCTGATGGAATAAGATGATATAAACATTAAAATTAGATTATTTCCTGAATAGTTTGAACTGATTTCTTCACAAAAGTAAATGAAATGGATGAAACTTTTTCATTTACCATGATTATATATCAATCTGGTATAAAAGATTAATCCGGATAATGAATCATCAAGATAACCAATAACCAACAAGGGTTTGACCTTAAGGGTTTGAAATTTCATAGTTGAAATTAAAAGCATTTTACTTGAAGACTTGATAGGAATTATTCCTTGAACTTTATTTCAGAAACAAAAAAAGCCACAACTAATAGCTTAACTCTTCAAAATTAAAACTCGCAAGATTAGCAAGAATTTTGCTTTATGTCAAACTGTCAAACTACTGTTAACTTACTTTATATAATATACACTAAACACTAAAAAGATAACAAACTGCTGTATGCTTTATTTGATGAAGAAAATTTTTGCCATTTTTCTCGATTGAAAATACATTTCATTTACAAAGCAGTTTTCTCTAAATTAGCAAAACCTACCAGTTTGTTGGACTACCTATCCATCAGTTTAGATTTGTAGTATTTGAACTTCAAATTTAGCAAGAACGATGCACAATCAAAGATATAACGAACATCATCTAAAAATGAATCCATATATCATGTTCTTTCTGCATTATCAATGTCAGCTTCCAAATTTGAAGGCAATGAAATTCATTAGGAGTAATTTCAGGACCAAGCTATGTTTTCAGTTAACATTAATTCTGATGCAGTAACCTCGGTTGAATATTGTAATTAATAGCTTGGAACCGAATCAGTTTCGGACTGAAAAAAAAACTGGTTGTTGCTTTTTCTAGCTGTTACCAACATTCCTCATTAAAATGTTTCTGAATTCTTGAAGAATTAATTATTGGCAATTTCTCCATGCAAACAGATTCTTCTATAGTAGGAGTCTGCAGCAGGAAAGTTGAAAATTACTTCCCATCTTGTTCCTGAAATGAAATCCTAAAGTGAAGTGGTAACCAGATAGTTGACCATCACATCGAACTTTTTCTCGCTAAGATCATTCAGTCAAAATTCGAATGCGGACTCCGAGTCAAAATTTTCAGTTATTTGCCATGTCATCAGAAAAACGCAGCAATACTGATCATTTTTTTTTTATCCAAACTCAGAAGACTGAGACCTGTGAAAGTAATTGAAGTGACTGCCAAAAGTGTCATTTCGTGGAGTGCATTTGTTATGGAACTTACTTTAATCCTATAATCCGAAAGGTTTGATGTTAACGCATTCGAGGAATGAGAATCCTGTTCCAATTATTTCAATTCATTTTAGGGCTAATTTTGATGAATTTTTAAGACAAACGAATCATCGATCTCCAGATTTTTAACAGAATTAGAAAAATGATTTTTAAGGAAATATGAACCAACCATATCTCGAAAAAATTGTGGGAATCTCGAGACAGAAGTCAGAAATTGTACCGAAATAGATGTATGCACAAAATGAAACCAAATTGACAACTGCCGCTCTTCTCGTGTATTTCCTAGCGGCTATCACGAAATCATTGTCTTTTAATTGCTTCCCAAGGAAAAAATAAAATTAATGTCTAGGATTGCCTTATGGAAACTGATCCATAAGCATTAACTAAACATTCATGACTGACATCGAAATAAATTGAGCCGAAAGATTTGTGAATATAACATGTCTAGATCAGAAAGCTGATTCTCATTACTGACCCATACATGTTACATCTCTGTCTCTTGCTTGCAAGTCTCTTGGAATTTGCTGTTTTTGTTTTGAAGACGATTTTGCTTCACCATGAGAGGCAAATAGTTCCAAGCCGTTGCATTCCTTCTCATTACATATGTGGGAAGAAAAACCAAAATGGAATAATCGAATAAACAATTGAATAAATAAATTACTTTAAGAAATAATTTATCACCTTTTATCACCGGATTTAAAAATCAAAAGCGTCAAATTTCGAGTCCAAAATAAAACTCACACTTAATTTTGCAATTTACAATACATTCACAAACAATTCATAAGTGAGCATGACTGAACCAAAAAATTTATTTGTACAAATAATAAAAGTAGTCAACTAATCCTGTCTTTCGAGAATTTATTTACTTTAATTGTTAAATACACACAAAACTAGCGGCACAATATAGCAACTAACTACAGAGGAAAAATGAATGACAGCTTTACAAATGTCATATTGTGTCATATTTAGTGTTGCACAATAGGAGATGTTTGCATTTTTTATATTTTGAAGTGAATGAAAATGAAAAAATATAATGTTGTTCCTCACAGAACATTTAATTGTTGAAATGTAGTGACGAGCACTGCTTACATCGCATATAATACATGAGGATTATAAAGTGGCTTCATTGCGTAGTACATCTGGTAAAGAGCCTTTCTCATGGTTATCTGGAAAAAAAAAGAATAAGAACACTGAAGGAAGGGAAAAATACCATACACGAATTTTTCGCAATTTCCACAAGAAATTGAGAAAACATAACAAATGGAAAACTGAAGAATGAAAATGCGCTGATTACATTGATTATAGGAAAAAATAATTAATAAAAAGAGAGCTGATCAAACAAAAAAAAGAATTTACTTGCTAAAATAAAGGTAAAAACAAATATAGTAAAATAAATGAACAAAATACCATAGTCAGAAAGAGCTGTGGACGAAGGAGAGATGTCAATACCAACGGCATCACGGGCAACAGCTATTGTTGGTTGGCTGCAGTAATAATGTGGTAAAAGATTTCGCTTCGTTGACGAACAAATACATGTCACTTCCATGCAATCATCATCAATATTTAGTTCTCGAAGTACACAAAGGCGAATCTGAAATCGGACAAAGATCAAAAGTGAGGTAAGATGCTCAAAAGGCAGAGAATTTAGGAAAGTTTGCTAGTCAAACGCATAACTAACCTGCTGGATGGCTAACTCAAGATGGTACGAACAACCACAGCAGGACACTTTCTTCAATAAGTCATTTCCAGCCAGTTCATTTACACGCTCTTCAACCTGAAATCTTGAACTCTACGTATGAAAATCATATACCTAACATACTCCTTCTGTCAATTAACTTTGACCAACTAATCTCGAGTTCTCGTGCTCTATCTCGAATTTGTAAGTTATAACATTTTAACTAGGAGAGATCCAACTATTTCTCGATATTTTATTTCGACCATAATGTACACAACGTTGCGAAAGAGAAAAATTGCCGAAGATCCTGTACAGACAGCAAGTAAGTGAGTATTTATAATAACGACCGTATATAGAAGATTTTTGAAAAAGCGGTGTATATAAAAATTAAAGCTCTGGTAGAACCAATTAGTTCCATACCCTTTTATTTTCATCAAAACAAAAATACAAAAAAGTCCAGAAACAGCTCAATAAAGTCTGAAAAACCTTCAGTCTTAAACTTTCGGAAATAATTTCCGGTGATAGATTATTGACAAAAAGTTGCAATTCATCGGCCGACGAAACTTTCTGTTGCCGTATGCACGATACATTTTCTTCATTTCTACATAAACGTCTCAACCGCTTCTGGACCTCCTGCGAAAAAAATGGTATATAAGTGAATAAAAGTAAAATGTTTTATTGAAATCAGAAAAATAACAATGAAAGTTAGAGAACAAACTATATTGAAAAGTCGTAGCAAACCAAAAAAATATAACAACAAACTATAATATATGGTAATAGAAGCCGTGGTCCGGCAGCATGCCGACGTGGTACACTATGATCAAACCAATGTGCATCAGGGTTCACATCTGGCGACCTGCTATCTGGATAACGTTGGCCCAATAAATCCATATGTGGTGATTTGTCGAACAAGCCCCGTTTATAGGCGGCATTCAAACTCTATAAGAATTGTGAAGAAGCTAAATGTATTCATTAATCAAAGTAGATAAATCATGACGAAAATGATAAATTGAAAACCGAAAAATAAAATGTTCATTTCATCAATGACGAGTATTACCTGATGGAATGGAGGGAGAATGTAATCGATTCGAATAAGAGGTAATAAATTCGTTAGAATACTTTTCAGTTCTTCATCGTTTAACTCAGAACGGCGGATACCCTTTCTACTAATACTGTGCGTGGTATTGGCGATCAAATTTGGCTCTCGTTCCTCCATTCGTCGCACCAATTTATGTTCACCCCATCGTATTACTGTTTCCAGAATTTTCACTTCAGCACACTGTAAATAAAAATATATCATATTCACAGATATATAATTTTGTTTCTCTAATTAATCGCTAAAATCGTTGATGCAAAAGCAGTACTGTAATCATATTAATAAGCGATCGTAGAGAAAGCTTCACTGTTTCGTCTGACGTATTTCGCGGCCACATAAATGTTGGGTTAGTTTCGGCTGTTCAAATATGTACCTTGACAGTTTGTCTCAACAAACTGAGCCAATAATAATGCTAGGTCAATACTAGACTATCAACTGCTGTCTTCATGAAATAAAAGAAAAAACTAACTAAAAAACCTGAACATAGTCAGAAAGCAGACAGTCCTTCAGTAAATCTTCTTCTAGCTCAAAAAGTAAGTGTGAAGAACAGATTCGAGAGAAATCGGAACGAAGGAATGAGATGCAATGACGTCGAACATAAGCAGAACCACCGGGTTCGCATGCCCAATTCCATAGGCTTCTCACCGTTTCTATGGATATTTGTGCTACAATAATGTCTTCGCATGCTGAAACAAAGTTATGGATAACTGTTTCTTATATGATCTACTAATAGGCATAAAGGATTCAAGTTAATAAATCCTACAAAAGGAATATGAAAAAAGTATTGAAAATAAAGCGATCTATGGTATTTCTCTTTTGAACGTTTTTTAAGAATTGTTTTTGGAATTAAAACAATAAAATTATCCTTCGCAAGACCCCAGATACAACTAATGTCCAACCGTGTATTAAATAAGGAAGATTAAGAAACTGTGCTATGTGGAATACATCAATGGCATGACGAAGAGGAGCAAGGTGTCGCTGTCCAGATGCAATTGCTTGCACTTCACTCAAGCTGCTTACTGATACTTGACATCCTTCTGGTATCTATAAATTTGATTATTTCATTTTCAGAACAATAAATACGGAAAACAAAATGAATATCGCAACAGCCAATCGGACCCTAGAAATATTCTTACTGTAAAGAGAAATACTTCCGTACTTTGCAAAAAAAATCAAAGTCTGCAAAGCAATATCTGAAGCAACTTAAGATCATTTATTTTTTACTTATTTAATACTAAACATTGATACCTTATTCAAATCCAACCGATCAGTGTAAATCGCATCCAAAATTATGCGTGCATACATGCGTGGGAAAAGATGTTCATTGATGACAATTTCCAACTCTTCACCGCATAAAATACGTTTCTCTATCACAGATCGCAAGTAACTAGATCGTGCTGCCAAAACTGCTCCCGAACATTTCATTCGATAATCACGACCTTCACTATGACTCCCTTCTCCTAAAAATACAACACCATGCCTAAAGAGTGACAAATAATAACAAGGAAGGCTTAAAAAAAAATATTACTGATTAAAATATTGATTAAAATATTACTGTTTCCTGTTGTAAAAACCAAAGTACATTCGCCTTTCTGAGAATCCACCGCCATAAGATCACTGGAAAGCGATGAACCACAACCATATCTTGAAATCAAGTAATTTTATAAATGCAAGATAACTAATATCTAAAATTTCGCTGGCTAATATTTGATACACTCATTATTTGTTGTACTAATCAATCATGCGTCAAGGTATTCCTGAGTTCTGCATGAGAAGCTTTGATATCGATGCTATTGAAAACATAGTGTTTAGGAGAAAATACTCAACATGTTATAGTACCTTAGTGACATCACAAACACCGCACAAAAATCCAAGGTTTTTGATGAAATGATGATAAAACAAAGCCAGCTGATTGGCTTATTTGAAATAAAACCTTTGTAAAATAGCAATAAATGACTGTCGATCGGAATGACATAATGATATATCGTATTCACCAGAATAAATATAATACAGCATTGCTTGGAATGTTTCTGATGACATGCTACTATCCGTGAAGAGAATTTCCAATTTTGCATCATCCGACCGCTGCGTAACCAGTGAATTCCAGAAATCAGAAAAATAACGGCAACGCGCTCTAAGTATAAAGGAATGAGCAGCATAGCGGAATCCCTGGAATTAATAAAAGTTGATTTCTATTAAAAAAAATGAATCAGAAAAATTTTCTACGCTAATGGCACACACGTGGTATGTTTAGAAAATAAATAATCACTCTTTCCAAGCGCCTCAATAAAATCTTGAACTAACAGAAAGTAAAAGAGAAAAAAAAACATAGAAAATAAAAAAACACCAAATTTCGGATCCATTTTGATGAACTGATGATAGTTAAATGCACACAACATGTGGGTAAGAATAAACTCTCTGTTACTACTTATTCTCCTTTTATGAGTAATATAAGACTTTTACTTCATAGATTCTCAGAATCAACAAAAAATAGGTGAAACGAATACTACTCTGTTACTTATTGTTCGGAAGTTCTTAAATTGAACGTTTACTTCTTTCAGTTGTTTAAAAGTCCTCGAATACAGCTGGAATATCGAAGAATGCATTTCAAAAGAAACGCTGACAAAAGTTTTTCGGGTAGGAATTACTCTTTCCAGAATTATTATTAAAAATCGAAATCATAATTACCTTGTGTGTAACAAAGCAGTCAGAAACTATTTCATTTTTCAATGCATTGAGTAGATCTGCTGCTAGAACAGATGTGCTAGGTCGCGCTTCTTCAGCCATCGAAGCCAACTCCCGTACTCCGCAAGCACTTTCCATTTCCATCAATAAAGCAAGAAGTTCAGTACTTGTCCAACGACTGATGAGATCACAAAAAGCACGTTGATCTTCTTGCGATATTTGTCGGTACTACAACGAAAACGCTAATCCCGTACAGGAAGATGATGAAATAGATCCTATGGAACTGGGTCGTATAATCTTTTGACAACTTTTATAGGTCTGAAATCTAGAAAACTTGAAGAAAAAAGCAAATCTAAATCTCTAACCTGTTTCTCCAATGAATTTCTTTTTTTTTTTCTAAAACCTGTCGCAAGTTTAATTAGTGCATTCAGTGTGCTGATGATAGCTAAATGGAATACTAGGAACAAATTTCCGGATAATTTTCCAATAGAACTATGACTGGGAGACAGAACAAATATTCCTTAGCTTCTCGTGAAAACCATCATAAACAGCTTATCACTTTAACAGCTTAACAAACAATCTGACCAAAAGGCAAGCTCTACGAGCAGTTTTAATTAGGAAATCGACTTACCTTTCGTCGCCAGGGAAAATCTGCTAATTTCTCGATGAAACATTTGTCATGGATAAAAGATGTTAAGCGATTACGCTGAACGTTGTCACCCTTACGTGTCGAGGTTGGCGCAATCCAGTCGGGTCTGAATTCCTTCCGAACACTGCTATTCAGTGCACCCATTGATTTTTCACTAACATCTTTTTTGAAATCGAATGAGGCCAAAGAAATATGTTAACGTCTCATACGTTTCATTTGGACAATACAAGAAAACTCCCCGCTTCACCAAATCCCATGTTCTAATACACGACCTGTCACACTTGACCCACACGTCAGAGTCAGGAATCGTTAGAAGTTGTCAGGTGTGAGTCTAAAGCCATCATCCTTATCCAGAACCACCAACACCAATATCTGTCCCCATAAATGCACTTCCGATGGAACAACACCGTCTCGCAAGTAATTCACAAATCCCTGAGAGTCAACACCGTCTCGCAAGTAATTCACAAATCCCTGAGAGTCGCGAATCGACCCCAGGCCAATGAATCATCCTCAATATTACTGGTCTTTAGCTATCATGTCACGGAGTGCTGATCCTAGTTCTTATTGATCACCTCAACCTCTCGGTCTTTCTCAATTTCCGACGAGTCGAGGCAGTGCACCACCCCTGTGTCTGAGCCATTGCTTCAAAACGGGTTTTTTTCTCGATTCTCAATGAAATATTCGCTTTTAAATCCTATCTTTTCTCGAACTATCGTGCTATTTCCAAATGCGCCGGTTGCGCAAATTTCTTAAACCTTAGTCAGTCCTCTATCTTCTCCGATTTTTCTTTGTATGTGGTCTAAAGTATAGATTCAGTAATATTTGCTAAGATTATTTTGGATGCAATTTTTACCTGTTTGTTCGGTTTCAATTTTTTCCCCGAACTTTGTTTTTATGAAATGAAGAAAACCAATTGTCTCGATGGGAAGAAGATCAAAGAAGTGGATCTTTTAATGGTCCAAACATTGCTTCTGATATTTGTACCCTGAGATTTTCTTATAGAAAAATGGTTTACTTGTTGGTTGAGGTCAAAATTTTGTTGTCGCGATCAATCAACAGCTGTTTCGATCCCCAAAATACACTTCTCTACAAAGTAAACTCGAACAGTACTTTTTCACGAACTTTATGAATTCGTTATTCAATCGACTGATGAGTCCATTCCTAAATTCCTCCCGCAATTCCAAATCGCTTCTAGGATCGATGATTAAATCGTTTTTGAAAAGCTAAAAAGTAGATTCCAGCCTTAAAATTTACAGAAGTGAGGAAATCCACTTAACTCTTTGCTTTTTCAATTGATCTCTGTTCATTTCAAGCATCCACATATAGAGATTTTGAAAACATCTGTCAGGAAAAATATGAATCATAAAGTAATATATCAACAAAATTAGGCACTTACGTTAGTGTTTTCAGTATTCTTTCTGTACCCTACTTACTGTATCCGAATCTTTTGTTCCTCTCATATCCATTATTGTACCTACATTTGTTTTATTAGGTAAACTTCCACTTAATTTACCTCCTTACTGAGTCTACATATTCGTTACTGTAGTTGAACCTCCCTTATTGTATCTGTATTTTCAGCACACACACAACATACTCTTTAATTGCTCTCATTACTTATTGTTATTGTACTCACATTTATTTGTTGTACCTTTATTTTACCTTCACAGCACATCTCCTTCTCCTTTCTCTTTCCATCTTTCTTGCAGTATAATGTTTCAAGGAGTATGTTGTGATTTTTCCTGAGTGATTTAACAAAATTGGCCACTTATTATTATAATGAGTGGTACGATGAGAAAGTGGTATGATAAAAGAAAAAGCGACATTTGGTGGAATCTGGCGAAAACATAGGAGAGGTATAGTTGCGCCGTCACCGCTGCCATTAGCGTTCAATTTAATCGGTTTTCTTCATATAATCTATCTATCTATCCCATTTCCATTCAACACATACATTCGGTATCTCTTCTCTTTTTTCATCCGAGCAGAAGAAACTGGTTTAACAAATATGACAATCCTGGAAGTTTGTTCGCATTCTCCCCAACTTTTTCTCCCACTTTTCTGCAAACTTTCACAGTACACTTCATTTGTCTGACTACATTAACCATTCAGAATTGATGGAGAAATTTGATAGGTATGTTTCGCTCTTTGATAAACAACGCATTCGTTCTACACTACTTGATAGATGTATATTTTTCTCTAGTTAACGATGTGTGAAGACCGCTGAAGAAAACCCGTCGCTTGGTGAATTCTTTTCTGTGAATTTCAAAACTTCATTCAGTTTTCATTTTTATTCCTTAAATCAACTTAAACTAAAAAACGTAATTTCTCAATGGATGCTTAAATTTGTTAATAAAACTAAGAATTCTCACAAAATGCATTCTTGGTTAGATGCTCATGAAGAAGGTGGAAAAAACGTCGAAAAGCTTCCATTGAATGAAAGAACATTTTAGGTTCACTTCAAATCTTACAAAAAATTCATTTTAACAAATATTAAATAGTAAATCTGTTGGACAACCGCAATCTTTCACCTTCTAGAAAATTTTCTTGTCTGTCCGCAACCTGCTGATGAATCATCAAATTACGATATAAAAATGTAAATAAGTCTCATCCTTTGTCGTCTAGTGCAGTTACTTCATTTAGCTGCTAAATTTTCCAGTGTTCAGTAAAATTGCTTTAATATCATAATTTTTATTTTGTAATTTCGTTTATCTCCGCACTTCTTTGCTTCGACTTACACAACTGTCACCTGTTTGACTAATGATCTCTGCTAAATTACTTAAAATTGAGAAAAAAGGAGCTTTCAAGCTTGTGGAACTTATGTGATTTTATGCATAGACTGAGCTTTCTCTTTCACTCATCATGAAAAATTAGCCAACAATATAAATGGATACTTTTTATGTTTAGATATTTAACAAACTTTTGGAACACTTTCCGGATTTAAATAAGTTCACATAATGCAAGAATTTACCAGTACCTTGGTTGTTTATTTCTTTTGTGGTCAAACACAGCGATACCTGTTACCTCGAGGAAATGACACTTTTTTTCTGGGATTTTTTCGTTGTTATGGAAGACTGTATGGAGGAATGAAATTGACCCAGGCAAAATGATTTCTGATGATCATTTTCATATTTAGCAGCGAATAGTATTATATCCTCGAATAGTATTATATCCCGTAACAATCTTGAAATCGACCTGTTTTTGCTTTCAGTATTGAGTACTGATGTGCTTGTAGTTAATTAGGGATGTGATTGATATCAGTACAAACATGAAGTAAGAAATGAGGACGATGTGGAAGAGAAAGGGTTCTGAAGGTTTTCAGAATCTTTGATCGAGATGCGTTTGTGAAAATAGAGGTGTTTTAAATCTTTTTTGGTCTTTTGTCGAATGAATGAGTGGGATGAATTCAGTTCAAATTCTCTTGAAAGAGAAGAGGTCAGTCGACTGAAGTTCTCTTTTTTTACAAAATCCTCTCATCAGTGTCAATATTTGATAATATACTGTTATGAAGAAATGGTGTTGGATTTTTCGATATAAGTCTTTGGAAGGTCCACAATGAAAAATTTGGATGTGATGCTGATTTAGATACCATTTGGTAATACTGATGAAGGAACCTGCCAAAATATTATATAAATTATGTATAAGACATTATTTTGAAGTCAATCGATAAACATATCATTTCAGTCTTTTTATGAACCACCTAAGGTACCTCATCATTTCTTGTTAAATTTATACGGTAACACTCCGGTATACCATACCGTATGTTGTGGACATTCTTTTTTTTCTGCTGCTCAGAAAAATGTGAAATTTCTTCCGTGGCAAAGATTAGTTGTGGCAAGTCTGAAGAATAAAATTCCATTAATAAATCATAACATATCCTAATATTCATCATCTTTTCTCGTTGTCAATTTTTTTTTGCCCTTAATTTAACTCTCAAATCATTTCATCTTTCGCTTACCACTCACTTCTTTCCACATGTCACATTTCATTAGAATGATTCATTGTTTTATATATCGATATATCCACCATCAGCAGTTCGCTCCTTCTCAGTACTGAATAAAAGATGTGAAAGTGCAACTAGTTCGTGAGCATGCCTCTAATTTCTATTTGTCAAAAATTCACAAAGCTATACGTGGCGTGCAGACATATGCAAGCCCTAACACATATATATACACACACACACACATCATAACATACACATACGGATGTTGCTACATATCGGTTAGTGTGTTAATGCCTCAGGATCATTGTACCACGAAGACCTTGGTAGTAATTAATCCATGCAATCGTCCTGTTTCCAGTTAAGCATAAGAGAGTGAAAGATTTAGACTGTTACTTCCCTTTTTGAATTAATTTAACATTTTTGAAAGATGGAAGACGATTTCGGAACTGTAATTGTTTGACAAGAAACTATTTCGCTTATTTATGTGAAAAATTATAAATCTACAATGAGGAAAGGAATTATGTAACAATCCATTCTAAGTGTTATTTTCATTGTAATTCTTCTGGAAATCTTTTAACACTTTGAATTCTTCGTAACATCCGAAATTTTTATTTGCATTTCTTATCACTAACTCTTCGTTGTTGCAAGATTTCAGAACTTTTAGAGGCCTGGTAAAATTTTCATTAACTTATCAAATATATTATAAACTGTCGTAAGGATACTGCCTTTCAGTTGTTTTCGTCAACTGAAACTGAATATAATAAAAAATATTCCAACCCTTATTCATTGCGGTTAAGATTTAAAGATTCTCTGATAAATATCAAAGTTTTAGAATCTTGAATTTCATGAAAGTTGCACACAAAGGGAGTTTCACTTCCTTTCTGTTTAAAACAAAACCTCGATCACTTACTATTTTCCTAGCTTTCCGGCGGACAATCACATCTTATAAAAGAAATCCATAAAATTGTCATTTTCCTTCCTTTTTTTCTTTTTATTTCTCATGATTTAATTTGCCATTAATTTCTCCAACTTTCCTTAGCTTTTCATTACAAGAAGTAATTCTAGTTATGGCTGTTACCAGTCTGACCATAAAATAACTGTCGTCGTTGCCATTATTTATCACTATCATCTCTATCATGATTTATCTGCGTAAACATCCTTGTTATCTCGATCATCCTTGTCATTGTTGATTTCGTTTGTAGTAGTCAATGTGAGTGAAATGTGGAAACGGAAAGGCATAACTAGTTTTTGTGAATAAATTCTAGTCCATGTTTACCCACAGATACTCAGAGAAGAGAAATGTATCTGTATGCGTTTA